AGAAATTATCATAYAATAATATCAAAATATCAGTGCAATAGTAAAAAGGATACAAATATGTAACTTTTGGAATTTTGAATTAAGATTTCTGTGCACAAAGTTTTTATCAAAAATGTTGTATAAGAAATATTTTCATATTATTGTCATTATGTAATTTTTTTAAAGAATGCCTATAAAATTCAGTTATTATAACATAGTTCTAGCTTGCATAGCATCTGTGTATGGAGACACACAATACCACCCCYTCAATTATTTTTCCCCAGTAGGGGATGTACACAGGCTTKCTATTTTTAGTTCATTGTTACATCATTGTTGTYCTCCTTCTCCAAGATGATCCTGAYGAATAAAATATCTTCTGTGCATTTGGTCGTCTTGTCCCWGGGGGCCTTGGTGGAAGACCACTTGTTGAGTTCGGTGGGTGTGGCATATGGGTTYGTGATGGTGGAGAGCTAGGYGTGCTAGARGATGAAGGCTGAGCTTCAAATTTTTGTCCAGAAATGTTGATATTTGGATTAGATTGAGTCCTTTGCAGTTGGTCATCATGTCTTGTGCTGGATTTGGTATGTATGGGTTGATGTGGAAGGCTATATTCCTGAAACATGTATATGTTAGATGATATTCATGMRATCTGTGTGCAAATATTATTTGTGTATMCTYACCGGTGTTGAAGGAACTCTTCTCARGTGTCTTGGWGCTTTCTTTTCTCTGTTCAATGTTCCAGTTGCAATTTKTCCTGACAATCTTAGTTGAGTAGTTGTAATATTTCCTGGAATCACRTCTGTTTGCTTTGCTGTATATAAGTAGTGAGCTCCTGTACTTTTATCTCCATTTGATTTATTTTTATCATCTTCAGCAAAAATGTCAGTTTCAGTAGTTCCTCCTGAAAACTTTAGTTGTTTAATTGTCATATTGTTTGAAGCTTTTGGAGAATGCAGTGGGTCTGGCTTTGTATCTTCATATATTTTTGTGTCATCTTTAGAAATAATATTGTCATTATTGTAATCACAACTTGGAACTTCTTGCTTAGCCTTTCCTTGTCGTTGTTGACTKGTTATTGTAGCGTTACTGAATGACCTACTGTATTGTAAACTATCCCCATGTTTTGTAGGTACAAGATCAAATATAGTTTTACACACTGAAGAATCTTCACTTTGTGTCCTTCTTAGTTTAGTTGAGCCTCTTGCAACAYTAATGGMATGTCTAGWATCCTTKGTTTTGCTTCTCGCACTCCCTGGTGCACTGGATGGCTTTTGCRCTTCTCTTTCCTTTGATTTCATTTTTTCCTGCTCATTTACATTTTCATTGTCACTTTTATATCTTAAGACCATTTTTTCTGTATTTGAAATAGATATTTTTGAGTCATGGTCTCTGTCACACTGCAACTTGTCATCTTTGGATTGATATGAAGATAAATTTGAACACTGAACTTCAGCAAGATTTTTCTCACGTTCTTGCTGATTTATATCCATTTTTGATGGTACAAAGTTTAGTTGCTTGTTTGTGGTTGATTGAATAYKTGAAACTTTTTCTTCATGAGCATTTAACAAGKGTTGGATTTCYTGGTTTACATTTGATTTACCAATAATATTAGTCGACCTTGATTCCAAATCTGTTAATGTCACTTCATTATCTAATTTCTCTGAATTTTTAGAAACTGTGTCCTTGYAAGTGAATTGTAGATTGCCAGTTGCTTTTTCACCAGATTTCAAAMTTATACCAGTTTTCTTTTGCTTGTTTTGTTTGCTYTCGGTATTTGTTTCCATTTCAATCTYTTTCATTTCAAAATATTCACCAAAATCGTCTGATTTTTCATATTCAGCAAATACATTTTCTTGAATATTTGTGTCATCATCTGAAGTTTTTTCAAAATCAGGAGATGTTATGTCTAGTTCAGAGACTATCAGACCTAAATAGTCACTTGGTAATGTGCTATTATTCTCATTTTTGTAGAGCRTTTCTGAAAGGTCTTTCTTTGTTGTGTTTTCAAAGGATGATAGTCTTCTTGTTATTTGTTTTGTCAATGGAACAACAACACAAGCAACGTGCCATGACCCCAAGGATACCTTGGAAATACAAAGAAACTAGTAAACACGCTGCCATCGACAGAAAACGTCAAACTTAGTTAAAAATAAAAGATGTAATGTGGTCACTATTGGCGATGTAGCTTATATCCCTTATTCTCACTTCTGAAGGAATTAGTCCTACACCCTTTCTTTTGACCAAAATGTCAGATAAATATATCCAAACATAAGACTTTATTTATCAACCATTTCGTTTTAGTGACAACTTTTTGCAAATAACTAATAMAAATACGTTGATTGACAATGATTTTTAGTAAAAAAAGGGCGAAAGAACATTACTCAAAACAAAATGTTTTCATAATTTCTATTTCATTCAATATTTATTCAGCAAACTTCAGCATTTTGATTCATTCACTTTTGTACATGTGGGTGGCTCTTATAAGAGCCGTTTTTGATAGTATTGAATACTGCTTAGTGAGCTTTCTTTTCGCTCTTCTTTGGCAAAAGTACGGCTTGGATGTTGGGGAGAACGCCGCCTTGAGCAATGGTGACTCCTCCAAGAAGCTTGTTCAACTCTTCGTCGTTGCGAATGGCCAGCTGAAGATGGCGAGGWATTATCCTCGTTTTCTTGTTGTCACGGGCAGCATTTCCRGCCAGCTCCAAGATTTCAGCTGACAGGTATTCTAGTACAGCAGCCAAGTAAACTGGAGCGCCGGAGCCGATTCTGGAAGCGTAGTTTCCACGGCGTAAAAATCGATGGACACGACCAACTGGAAACTGTAAACCAGCTCTTGAAGAACGGGACTTTGCTTTGCCTTTTGATTTTCCTCCGCCTTTACCACGTCCAGACATTTTGTTKGGTTTTCTAGTCGATTTGAATCACTTTAACTTTCAAGACAACGAATCGTGAAATGATGAACTTACAGAGGATCTAGAGAATCTTATTTCAAAACTGCCGCCAAGTAGGATCGAAATGCACCAATCAGCAAACGAGATGAAGTGAAGCGCAGCCAATCAGAATTAGAAATTCTCTACCAATCAGAAGCAAGGTSAAGTATACAAATCCAACCAATCACCTTCAAGAGGATCGATTCTCGATTTTTCGTCTTTTTGGACCGTTTTCTAAGAGGTTCGGACTCCTGCGACCAATCAGAAATGAGGATTTTCGATCCTTAAAGCCAGTAAAGTGCTCATYGGATCGACTTTGATCCGCTCGCTTCTGACATAAATATCAAACGAACCGAGTTGTCCTCATTCAAACTTTGAGTATCTTTACACATTGTGATTTGTTTTTRTTTAAAAWTTTTCACTATGCCAGCTAAAGCTATCAAGAAAGACATGAAGGCAGCTAAGGCGGGAAAGAAAGAGGCGACCAAAGGCAGGAAGAACAGAAGAAGAAAAGAAAGCTACAGTATTTACATCTACAAAGTCATGAAACAAGTTCATCCCGACACTGGTATCTCAAGTAAAGCCATGTCCATCATGAACAGCTTTGTCAACGACGTYTTTGAGCGTATTGCTTCTGAGTCTTCCCGTCTTGCTCACTACAACAAGAGGTCAACCATTTCTTCCCGAGAAGTTCAAACTGCCGTCCGTTTGCTCCTTCCTGGAGAGTTGGCRAAGCACGCTGTCAGCGAGGGTACCAAAGCAGTGACCAAATATACAAGCAGCAAATAAAAACCAACTACGAAAACATTAAACGGCTCTATTCAGAGCCACCCACATGTAAAAAAGTGAACGAAAAAAAGCTTCTTTACTGTAAAATGTAGTATTATTTTGTAATGAATAATAAAGTTCATTTGATAAGAAACTCATGTTCAGTTTTCGGTTGGTTTAAAAACATTTCACTAAAGGATGATTAATATTTTTCTCAAGTATCAATAGTCCTTGCAAAGTTTACCGGCACTATTTTTTATTTGGAAAAGATTGAAGAAAAAACCTTTGTATTATATTTTGCGTCAAAATGAGAAACGTCGTTATTTAGAAAATGATGAATGATTGGCACCTGTCATGTCATTATCGTTGTCCAATTGGAAAGCAASAAAATGAACGTTCGAGTCGTCGACTAAATCACTTACGAAACGACGGGATCCCTGTGTCAAGGCCAGGAATGTCGTCAAGAAATGGAAGTAAAATATTTCAGATTCGTGTTTAAAAAAAGGTATTACCTTTACTGCCTTCCAACTTCCTAGAGRGACAGGATAAGGATAAAATTGACAATATCTTGGACCTTCATCATCACGAAACACTTGGCTGACGTTTCTTCCCCACATGAGAAGCTCCCCGTTGACTGATATGAAAGAAAAGGTCAGTTTTACACCTTGTAACATTACACATGGCTTTAGAAAATAATACACACAACCCAAAATATACCTGTTGTCGCAGCAGAAGTATTTTCACCCACAGAAATGCTCAAAACATTTCCTTGRATRGCTTTATTCTTTATTTCAGCAGGGYTGCTTTGAAATTTGATTTGTTCTCCAAGCCCAAGTTGGCCCTTKTAAATTTTAAAAGTTRATTTACATTATTGATAAGCTTTCTTGTTTAATTATGTGTGTTCTTATAAATTGGTGTATAACCAAGTGCATCATCTTTTTCAAAATCTTTTGCTTTCATATTTTTGTTCAAAATACCCATATAGCACTCCTCAATGTTTATCAAACAAACTCATTCTTATGTGACTCTTATGTTAATGTGCCAACTATGATCAGAATGACTTAAAACAAGTTGCTTTGCACTAACAGCCAGTCGTTCAGTTGGATGAATAACAAAGGCTTACGTCACAGTAAGCATTCCTATAAGTTAGGTTAGTAACTATTTTTGAAATATGAACACAGGAAGCCCAAACAATAAAAAATTATTTAAAAATTTATTACGTATTAATAGGAATGATTATTACCTCAAAATTCACCCCCCAAGAGAACAAAGAACCATCATCAARTAGAAGCATTGAGTGAGAGTCACCTCCCTCTAACGTCTTCACACATTTATCACTGTAGTTGTAGATACATGTAGGTTCCAATATGTCTTCTTTAGAACCACAAGCTTTGCCGTAACCCCAAGCATATAACTTACCATCTCCTAAACAAGTATTAAAGATATTATGGTTTGCTTTATTATTGATCAATCAATAATAATTTATTATTAAAGTTAATATCAGAATCACATCCAAAACAGAAAGCAATTTGATTCTCTCTCTTTTTAAGATGTATTTTATTAAATTAATCTCATTATCATAATGGAATGCTACCAATAGGTTATGATATGATGATAAATTATTAAGGAGTAAAAAGAAATAAAGCTTACTGATGTTAAATAATTAAATTTCGGTCACTTCACTTAGTTTAAAAGACATTTAGGCTGATATCCAGATTGTAAAATTAGTTTTCTCTCTGACTTTTATAGCATGCAACATAATATCATTCTCATTACAAAATAATGCAAATCATTGTCAGATATTTCTTACCACTTGCAGCAAGACAGTGACAATTTCCACAACCAAYGACAGCAATATCTTGCATATCAGGAATATTCTTGACACAAACACTTTCAATTCTATTACCCAGGCCAAGCTGCCCTCTGTCATTTGACCCAACTGAAGCAATGGTTCCAGAATTRAACAAAAACAGTGAATGTCTAGAGCCACATGCAACTTGGATGACTTTCTGGTTGAAAAGTGTTTCAAGGTAAACTGGGCTTGGCTGTGGAAAGAAGAAATGGTACATGCAATCGTAAGTAAAATTGTACAACTGGATTTCATGATATGCATGATGTAATATTGTTAGTAATGCAGCTTGAACTGTATAAAGTATGTATTAATTATCAAGAAAATTGTCCATAAGGGGGAGGGGGTCAGTCTGCTTCTGCTAACTCATGCATTGATGGGTCATATAAGCTAAACTGTGATATGATATTGAATTTGTATTTCACTTGTATTGGCACTGTTTGAATTTGTTTTCCATTTTTCAAAGTACCTGATTATCTTTAAAGTCTGGCTTTCTAAAATCGTATCCCAGCTGGGCACTAAAGTTATTACCAAAACTGTAACACTCTCCATTGTCTGTCCAGGCAAATGTGTGTCTGGTACCRCATGTTATACCCTTTACCCTGGTACCCAGAGACACTCCTAGCTGGACACCATGTGGTTGGAAAACTGTCTTGGATTGYCCAATTCCTAACTGGCCACTGTTACCATTTCCCCAACTGTATATGCGATCATCATCTATTTGGAATGTGATCATTAACAGACAATTAGTGAATATTATTTTGCCTTTTATTGCCAATTTTAATCTTACAATCTGTGTTTTCCTGTGAACAAAATCTAAGCTTCAATTCAGTGGTGAGACTCAGGTATCGACCATCAGCTTTGTACATGACTAAAATACTTAATTGTTCTTAAATTGATATCAAAATTATTTACATCATCATCATAAACGGCAATCCTCACCTGTAATGCACACAGTATGACTTGAACCACAGGCTACCTTAGCAACCAAAACATCTTGCCCTAGTAACAATGGATTAGACAGCCCGGTAGAGAGGGAGATGTCATTTTGATGACCRTGTCCATGTTGGCCAAACTCACCACAACCCCAGACCAACAACTTACCACCATTGTCAGTGCAGATTTCGTCTGACATATTCAATAATATATTATTGTCGTAGTCTGAATTTGATATTTGTTCTTGGAATACCTCGTCTGGTTGCATCACGTTTTGCTAATCATGTATCAAATAAACATCTTCATAGATTTTTCTGGTGTTTAAAACATTCAGCGTCTGTTCACTAGTTTTCATGACTAGGTTCATGACCGAGTGATAACGTGATTATTAATTCTAGAACTTTCAATCGATCGTTAATTGAAACATGGTTAGCCACAAAACAAAAACATCACGGCAGTTTGGAATATAAACATATTCTCTGTAAAATACTTTTTTCTAACTTTTGTATTGTTGTCGTTTTCCACTTAAACCGCTTTCGCTACAGTTGTTACAATCTCCATTGGATACGGATCTTGTTGGCCATGCAAAGTTCCCACCAGTTCACATTGTCCTTCGAAATCTTTTGACGATTAGTCCAAATAGTCTCCCTCAAGCTTCGAACTAACTTCCCAAGACTTTTTCAAGTACAAAATTTCAAATCTACGCTGGAATCCCTCCAATTCGTTTGTTTCAAAGTGTGTTTACTCTTCTTTCACTGTCGGMAACAATTCGTAAACAACTCGGAACTTTCCGAATACTTTCCGATTGTTTTCAGAGTTTTCGCACAAATCAGAGAATGAAATGGAAAGGCTTTTGATCAGTGTCTTGTGATACACAAAAAGTAAATCGYAATGGATCCCGTTATAGATCCTTTTAGRTCGCTTCTTTTGAGTATTKCAAATGATTGYTCAGAMGATGACTTCACAAACATGAAGTTCCTTTGCARTGGGTGTATTTCTGAAGGTCGTTTGGARGCCATTGCRACACCACAGCAACTCTTCACAGAACTCATTCACGAGTGCTTTCTAGCGAGCGATAAGAAGACGTATCTAGCTTCCTTGYTATTTCACATCGGGAGACACGACCTGAGAAATCGTTTACTGGGGAAAGAAGGTAAGAATTGATTTTATTTCCGGCAAAATGATAATTCGACACCTATTGTGCAAAATTTGAGTCASGAATTGCGAAAATTCTCCGAATATATATTATAAAGTAAACTGAGTTAYACGAGTATTTGACATTGACAATTAACTGCTTAAAGTTCTTGGAGGAAGTCATTTTTAACACGTTTTCACATTTTTTTGGCAGTAAATTGTCAAATAATGAATAAATTAATTGTTTGATTCGCGGACWGGTGAGACACCAATTGAAATTGTAACAGGGTTCTGTTTATCATGCAAAACTTGTTCTTTGAAACGACTGAATATTCACATATAATTTTAGAAATRAGAACAGCTGGGGYCAGTCGAAAGAAGAATCAAAATAGGGCTATCTTCCAGATAAATCCCTTATCGAGGATAACTTAATCTAACCTGAAGACAACTGGCCCTAGTTGTTTAATAAGCTTACATATCCCATTTTTGAGATCTACATTTCTTGGAAACTAAATGAAAACAATTTTTATTTCTATCATTATTTCCATTTCAAAACATTCTCTTCACAACGCTATTTTGACTCCATAATGAAACTTGAATGCTTTGATGCTTTTTTTTTTGCACTGACAAAATTCCTTTAAAATTTGTAAAGCTTTTCTAGTATATCACTAAATATGATAATTATTATTCAATCAAGAAATTATACTAATAATAATTAATGTTTGATGCAGATCCAACTGTTGTCGGAGGATCCCAAAACTGGGGTGGACTCCCCCTTAAAGTACACAACTTTGTGGACAGAAAAGATGAATGTAAAAAGGTTCTTTCCAAACTTACTAATTCACCATGTCAAGTTGTCACCATAACAGGCCCTCCAGGATTTGGAAAGTCAGCAGTAGCAATCCAAGTTGGCCATGATCTATGCTGCCATGCTGGTGTCTCTGTATTTTATATCAGTCTGAGGAACTGCACTTCGCTTGTCGGGATGGCNAACTCTCTCCTTAGAGCACTGAGAATGGTTGCAAGTGAACGGGAATCTCCACTTAAACAGTTAATGCATGTTTTGTGCAATATGACCTCTGATACTGTCATCATTCTAGACAATGCCGAGGACATGCTGGTCAATTCTATACGTGAAGAGTTTAGTAACTATGTTGAGAATGTTGCCAAGACTGCACCATTTGTTCGAATTTTGGTAGCTAGTCGCATCTCGATGACATTTTTAGATGTTGACTCATGTCAGRTATCGTTGGATGCTTTAAAACCAGAAGACGCCCAAGAATTGCTTAAATTATCAGGGGCAAGAATTATGCATGATGATGCCGAAACCCTAGCACACCTTTGTGGTGGAGTGCCTCTTGTGTTGCATACAACAGCTTCCTTGCTGGCAAAGAAAAGTATTAATCCCAAAGCATTAATCACTGAATTCCAGAGAAGTCCAGCATCAGCGTTCAAGGCGTTCAACTTCATCACACTTTCACATGATCACCAGATTTTCTACTGTTTGAATATATGTTTTGAAAGGCTGTCCAATGAGATGAAGGATGGCCTGATCGCATTATCAGTGTTTCCGACAGCTTTTGAGCTTGATGATGCTCAGGTGATCATGAAAGAGCACTCTGAGTTTTCACTGGARATGCATCTCCAAGAACTTGTTGACAACTCGCTGCTTCAGTACGACAGTGTTTCCAAGCAGTACTCAATTCATGGTGTAATCCAAGCATTTTGCCATGACAAGTCCAAACAAGAAGARTATASRCCWTTATTTGCAAAAGCAAAAAAGGATTTTAATTGTCATTAYCTTGACATGCTAAAAGTATTTCAGAACAACTTTRTCTCCAAGAAAGTTACAAGYACTGTACAGCGCTTCCTGGTCAAGAGACGTCAYATAAGACAAGCMATGCTAGACTCTGTAAAAGACCCAGACCTTGAATTAACATGCATTGACACAGCCAACAGTGTTGCCCCTTTCTTGGCCAAGGTGTTCAGAAAGGAAAAATGTTTACAAATATTTGAAATCTATACAAAAATTTGCAAGGAAAGGAATGATGACAAAAGATACAGTGATTGCCTGACTGCCGAGGCTTAYTGYATYCTGTCTCACTGCGCATGCCATCTTCCATGCCCTTCTGCAGTCGCAAAGTTCAAAGAAGCTCATGCAATCCAGACAAAACTTGGAGATGAGAGCTCTTTGATTCGTKCTCACTGTCTTACYAAGCTTGGYCGCTGTATCTCTCATTATGGTGAGCTAGATAAAGGCATTGTTCTCATTAAGAAGGGGTTGGCTATCAGGWTAGAAAAGAAAGATGACATCCAAGTAGCTGTGGCCTACAAAGATTTGGCAGGTTTGTAGTATTTGAAAATATTAGCTGCTAGATTTTATTGTTTGTCACTCAGAATGTATAAAGAATAGTTTAAATGTGTCCTTTGGACAAATTAACAGGATTTTATGTTCGGATGTTTGAGACTAAAGGCAGTCTCAAAGATCCCAAAGATCATTTAATATCTCTGATTATGATGATGATGATGATGATGATGATGGGAACTAGCGGTAAACTAGTGAGAGCTGCGTCGATGTTTCTAAAGAAACACTAATGTAAAAAGATATATTTAACACCGTGAAACAAGGTGAAACAACTTACTTAAGATGATGATTGTGATGATAATGATGATTATCATCGTCATGATTCCTTAAATTGCTGTACTCATTTATCTCTAACTTTATATCCACAGTCTCCTATTCGTTTAATAACCAGCACCACACTGCTAACAGAATGCGTGTTGAGAAGGTCCTACCCGTGTATCAGCAGTACTTAGGTGATCATCCCTATACCGCTACGCTGATGGACGACATGGGTGTGTCCTACATGGCAATGTCTGACTACTCCAATGCCTACACCTACATCAAGGAAGCATTGAGGATGAGAGTCAAAGCGCTGGGAAACCACCAGGAAACAGCACGCTCCTACCATGACTACGGCACCGTCCTTGTGGCCCAAGAGAGGTACAACGAGGCATTAACTGCTTTCAAGCAAGCACTTCAAATCCAGGAAAGCATTCTTGGAATACACGAGGAAACTATAAGGTCACATTTTGAGATTTCCAAAGTGTTGAAGCGGCTTGATCGTCTTGAAGAGGCCTTGGAAGAGAGCAAGCTTGTTACTGATTTGAAAGCCAAATCTTTAGAAAATGAATCTTGAATATGCATTACTTGAATGCCTATAAACATACTGGAAACATGCTGTGAAGGTTTGCTTCTTACATTACTAGGCTCAATCTATTTWCATAAGTGTTCGCCAAAGTTTAGGTATTTTCCTTTCGCAGAGATCCAATGAAACTTGGGCTTCCTGTTTAAGGAGCTCCAATGACCCACATAAGGATTGAAAAAAAATGCAGCTTGAAAACTGCGATTAGCATACCGACGAATCAGAGTGTCCGTATAACGATCTGATCTATATTTGTAAAGAAATTAAATCTATTATTGATAAAATAACTGATAATGAGATACTAAGTATCGCACATATTTTTATAGATTTCAAAGTCAGAACAAAATTTTCGTGCGATAAAGTAATAAATAAATTTTAAAATAATTCTTCAAATTAAATAAATTTAATCTAAAATTACTTTATAAAAAGTGCTGAATTTCGATTAAGTCGGRCCAAATCAGAGTYAGCAAAGACGATTTAGGTTATAGAGCTGTATTGTTCATAAGATCAATTGAATCAATTTCTGAACCGTTTTTCGCGTTTTCAGGCAAGATTTTATTACAATAAAAATGTGTGAAAATGTATACATAATATATCCATGCATTTGTAAATCACAAGAGAGCATTAAACAAGATCTATCTTGTATTGCAAGTGGCAGTCATGTTCATTATGCGCGTTTCAAGTTAAAATGCGAGACAAAAATGGCGGGAGACTAGGGATATCGAGGTACTTTCGAAGAATGGGAATATGGATGCATCTTCATTTTTTCTTGTCCTGATCTTGCGTGTTCAACTTTCTCGGTTTATATCATAGTCAGGCTTGCCAGTTTGGAGGTTTATTTTCGATGGTTCCAGGAGCGAGCCCCTGGATAGTTCATCCTCTTATAGAGAGATGTACCTCTACACCTTCAATACTGTTATTTAATATAATCTCGCTCGCACMCAATTTATMAACAGAAAGATCCAGCTGACAAGGGCGTGGCACTCACGTGGAGGTCGGACCTCACAGGCATTGAAAGCCATTCGGTCTTACGAAGTCATGTTTATGCAAAATCTCACAAATTACATCAAACGGTCGCTAAATCATTGACAGACATCCT